ACCTGACTAATTGTTGTTTTGTTGACAGCTAATTACTAGCAGTTTAATACTTGGAAAAGCAACGAAGCCCCAAACACAGCAAAACGATAAGGAGTAAAAAAAAACGTAAGGTTGAAGTTTATGAAGGATTCAATACGGGGTTTTTATACAACCCCATATGACTTTGTATAATCCGTATATAGCCCCAATGAAGCCCTTAGACTTAAACCCTAAACCCTAAAATGCGTTACTATCGACAGTAGTATTCCCCAAGACCTTTTCCTCATGGTCCAGCCCTCTGCGAGACTTTTGGCTGAGTGAGTCGGGGCTTAGGGCTTAGGATGCAGGGTTCAGGGTCTAGGATTTACGGTTCAGGATTTAGGATTTAGGGCTTGGGGCTCAGGATTTATTGGTTTAGGATATAGTTAGGGTTTAGGCTTTCGTGTTGTCTTGATCCAAAAAAGTTGCGCATCCTCAAGTTGGTAGTATTCTTCAGAGAGCCCGAAACCCTAAACCTCAATCCCTACACAAGCCCCTCATTTCAGTAGCAGGGCCTCTTCAGGGAGGGGGTAAGGACTGATCAAGGGGAAGGTTGCACAAGTAACTGCGCACTAAAGCGTTGAGGATTGCTTTTCATTCATTTTCAAAGCTTTGTGGCTTCAGAGTTCTCCGCTCCTCTTGCTGGTATCTGCAGCGTTCAAAGAGTGTTCAACAGAATGGGGAGAGGGGGGTGGGGGGGCGGCAATAGTTCTAACCACCTAGTCTAAGGGGATCCAGCCAGCCAAAAAAGACAATTCCAACAATCTCCAGCCCCCCATCTATAATTCAAATCTCAATCTCGCCACATAGGCCGCAGGGAGACTCATAAGTCTCGGAGCCCTAACGACATTCAGAGATGCATGATCTGAATAACGTGCTCTTTGACTCTTTGACACCTTGTCGTGTTGCTCTGCCACGCGGACGTGCCCACACACCTGTCGTGCTTTTCTGAAAGCTCGCATGTAAGGGCCCGGAAAATGCCATCTTATTGCTTTGGGCTGGAATTGGGGCTTCCTGGTTTCTCATAGGGATACCAATGAAGAAGATCTTGTTTTGGTTATCAGGTAAAATCACAAACATATTCAGCTGTGACCCAGTTCCGGGCTAGAACAAATTTCGGTATATCTTGGCACCCCCCCACCACCCTAAAATGAACGACCGACAGGGGCCCTACAAGGGGTACTATCCTTCCAAAGCGTGGTTCATATGAATGGGACTCCATGTTTGTCGGTAGAATTGCCTTCTACCTTCTTTGAGCTTGAGGATCCAAAGCTCGAAGCTCTGAACCCTAAACTCCGTCCACTGTGATTTAGCCTTCTCAGCATGCTCTTTGGCCAACAAGCCTAACTTCCTTCGCTCATAGGGGCATTTCCTGAAACTCTACAGTAGAGCCCAAGGCTTGCAAGCGTCAGGGGTTTAGCCTAAACCCTATAGTCCCCCTGAAGTAGATAGAATATGGCTTTGGTTACGTTGTAATAAAGTTCCCATATACCCCATGTTCTATCTACTCAAGGGGGGCTATAAGCCTAAACTAAGCCCTTAACCCTAAAACCCTTAACCCTGAACCCTTAAACCCAAAACCCCATAACCCATTAGAGTTTAGGGATTAGGACTGGCGATCTCAGTTTCAAGGCTCTTGGGATCCCACCGCAACATTGAACTGTTGCGGGATTTGGATATTAGGGATTAAAGATTGAACCCAGACCCGTGATCAATAAACCCCCTCCCCTAAATAGGGATTACAAGAGGGATCCTAATATTAAGGCCCTTAAAAGGAGGTGTTTTTAAATCATGGGTCTACATCAGGCTGTTTTGGGTGTGGTGATGGGATGTAGGGTTGAGTTATGGTTGGGGGCTTGGTAAGGGTTTGGGGTTTAGGGTTTCAGCTGAGGGTGGAAGGATTGGACTCTTGGATTTTCGGGCCCCTACACCAGGCGTGTAGAGGCTGATCTCCACAGCAGCATGCCGCAGGGAAAACAAATACTTGGACCTCCTACGTGCGCCAGGTAGTGAAACGTCCCCCAAAACCTCAAATCCAAATGATGGTTTCTTTGGCGGGGGTAGAGTAAGAATGGCTTTGTCCTGGTGATTTGCGGGAGGTCTCGCAAATTGAAGTACCCTTCAAGACCCATGGGATACATGGACATTCTTAGCAGGTTAGGAATTATGTAGGATGATTTGGGGTAACGCCCCGATCGTGGCAAGTGATTCTGCTGGGGCTTGATTCTCATCCAATCCTCGAGGGGGTCAGGTTCTCTCAACGGCTCTGAAGTTCCAAAGCGGCTAAGCAGGTTTAGGGCTTAGGGTTTAGGGTTATGTTGGGGATATACGTATATATACATATATATATATATAGGGGTTATATTGGGGATATATGGGGATTGTATTGGGATAATGGAAAATGGAAGCTACTATTTAGGGTTTAGGGTCTAGCTTCACCCCTAACCATGCTTTAGCTTTGTTTTAGTTTGGTTTGCACTGCGCAGTCAGCCGAATGCGACTGACTACATTACATGCAGTAGCAAAACTTGCACTTGAACAAGGGCATATGCTAAATCTAGTTCGAAGGCCCGGACTTTTAGATGCTTATACTGGCACTTGCGTAATGAGTGATCAGAGATGTGCCCGCGGCATCGTTCAACGCCTACGCCGCTGTACTCTGTTTTCCCACCCCAATACCATCAAACCTAAATCGACCTACCAATGATTATTGGGGTACGAAGGAATGGGTTATAAGGGAATGCAAAGGAACTACTACCATCGGGATCCGTGCCCTCATGCCACCTAGCAGCAGTTGGTCTAGTCCTCACGCTCTAAACTAGACCCTGAACCCTAAACCCTGAGCCCTAAACCCTAAGCCATGCACTGAACCCTTAATCGCTGCTGCAGACCCTATAGGTCGTAGGATGACTTCCACAAATTAAGAAGTGTACCAAGTTGTTCTAACAACAATTTTAGCCTAAACCCTATAAATCCTAAGTGCTAAATCCTCCCTACACTCCCAATCCGGAAATCTAAGCCTTACCTAGCCCAGGCCGAGAAGTTTGAGAATGCTGTGCGTGCGCTCATGGAGGCTTCGCTTGCCCCTTGCGGCAGCCCACTTTAAGTTTGAGCCCTTGTATTTTTCGCATCAGCCAGTGCGGTGAGATTGAAATAGGGAGGAGTTGAACGTTCATGGGTCCTTGTCAGCTGGGTGAACCCAGTATTTATAACCACCAGGAAGGAATTGACCTAATCTAGTGATTCACGAGCCCACTTCTAAACCACCCATGACCCTTCCCTCGACCCTCCATCCTCGTTTTAAGGGCCTCAATATTCGGAGCCCGATTATTTATAATCCCTAATAAAGGGACGGGGCTTATTAATCAGGACCCCTAACCCTAAACCTTAAACCCTATACCCTAAATACTCAACCCAAATGTGGAGGGTGAAATTATTTCGGAATCCTGTAGGCTCTTAAAGAAGAAGGAATACATTCTGCATGATACTCGAAGAGGGTCATATAGGGGATATATTGGGATACAGGAAAAGAAAATGGAAACTCTATTTAGGGTTTAGGGTTGAACATTTTTAAGAATCGGATGCTTGATCAACTACCATGTCGGCCCTTTGCCTTTTTGCGGAGGTTCTGGTGGCATCAAGTCTATGTGTCTCACATGAGAGTTGTTCTACAAGGTCCTTGTCAAGGAGGGGGTGTTGCGACTTCACTTCCTTCAAAGAGAGTCCTACTTCAAAAGGGAAGCGACATCATGGTAATTTTTTAGGACAGGTATTCAGAACAACTACCATATGCACAGATTACATGTAGGGATCACAGGGTATGGGGCTCACATTCGAGGCCCATGGTTCTAATCTCAGAGAGAATCAAACGCCCACCCATGCATTCCTGGCAGGCTCAGAAAGAGAAAGTGGCTGCAATAGAGGCGGCTGAGTATTTTGGTTGAGGGCTTGGGTTTGTGGTTTGGGACCCTGATTTTTTTGGGGGGGGCGGGTGCGGTAGGGTGGGGTAGGGGGTGTCGCCAACGTGCTAGGTGCTAAGGGTCCAAGATTCTGTGTTTTGGGCATCAGTGCTGAAGATTGTTATATGAGTGTTACAATGGGTTATATGAAGTTATATGGGCAATAATGAGGTTCGAGGAATATTGTACCCCAATGATAGAGATTCAAATGGAACACAAAATAGATAATGAGGCTGAATCTGGGATTTATACAGTTCTTTCTTTTCTGTGGATGCTATCATCATGCCAAGAAATCAAGGGGGTTGCAGACATGGATCCAAAATTCTAGTTTCCCTTGAGGTGGCGGACGAATAAACGGGTATAGGGCTGAGGGTTAAGGGCCCTAAACCTTAAATCTACCTGAACCACCAAAATAGGTAAAAATTATAGCCCCAAACCTCTAGAAATAGCCCAAAAGGCCTTATTCTACATACTTTTGGGGTTCAGGTAAAGGTCATTATTATACATGTTGGGTAGGGTTGAGGGAATTCAGAGTTCTGTTTCGAGGGCTTGCAGGGACGCGAAGTGGAGATCTGATCCATCCGGAATCAGGAAAGCTCAATCATGTAGCCTAGGGTTTGGGGTTTAGGGTTTAGGGATCCCCAATATTAAATTTTCCCAATGTATTATAGTATGCCACATAATTGGAGTATTTAACTTTTTTGGCGGGGGTATGGGGGGTTTCATATTAGGGGGAAGGGATTAGCCAGAGAGAAAGGCACCCAAGGCATACAGGGGGCGACACACAGAACCTTCTAGATGAATTGAGATTTCACCAATGTCTTGCAACGTGGTGTCATGGGGTCCGGAGCTACGACTCCCGTACGGGAGGTTTGAACGTAGAGGTTGCTCACCATTCTGGTTCGCGGTTTGGGGGTGTCCTTATAACAAGGTTTCTACATCGTGCCGCTGGCGTGATAGACCTGGCTGCTAAGCAGGCAGCATACTTGAATACTGGGACTGGGAAGCCTAAAACCTCGTGGGTCTCTCCCAGAGCCCTCTAAACCTCAGCGTTTTGGGCTTAGTGTTCTGAACCCTAAACAGTAGCCTTGGTCCCGCATCCTCTTCCTCACTCCCTGAAGTCCCTGAATATTGTTCAGTTCTGAAACCTTTTCCGAGACCTGACTTCCTAGCTAGCCCAGCACTGAACAAAGGACCTTGATTCCCTAGCACCCACAGTCATCAGTTAAACTCAAAGCGTACTGACACGGTCCGAAGATCCGAGCATTTTTTGATTCAGAGTTTGGGCTCACCCTACACCCGAAACCTTGAGGATAATCAAGGGTGGGCATAGGGGTCCCTCTTAGTAGTTTAGCGTCGTCCCTATTCTATTCCCTAATAAGGAACCCATGTCCAGCAATTAGAGGCGCATACTTCAATGTAACTTCCTAAATAGTTGATGTGAGCTATAGTCTAAACTCCTAAGAGGGGGTTATATAGGGTAGTTTTTGGGGGATACCAGGAGTTTAGACTATAGTTCATGTCATTAGCCGTTCAGAACCTCTATCTAACTCCACCGTAATCTTTGCCACACGCAAATTGGAATTTGTGTGGTCCGTACACTTCCTATACAATCCCACACAGAACCCTTGCGCAATCCTAACTTCCCATGCATGTTCTATTCATGTTTGTTCTTTTTGTTTCCATTTATGGTCTCCAAACCCCACACATCCCACAAGTACTCGTTAAGAACCCCAGGCCCCCCGTTCCAATCATCATGGTATTTGGGTGGAGGGCGATGTAAGGTTGGGGTGTAAGGAGATACATCCTTTTTCTGTATGTATACATATAATATATATATATGCACGCACGATATGTAGTATCCTTGATTCAATCCGGCTTTGGACAAAACAGCCCCGAACAACGCCTCCTTTACGACAACGCCTCCGTTACGCACCCCTAGCTTCCCGTCAAATGATCTATCAGGCACACATCAAACCCTAAACCACTAATTCCCAAACGACCCTCATTCCCTAAGCCCTAAACCCCTAAACCCTTAACCCCCAAACCCTGAACCTGACAGTACTTGCCGGGGGAGTCTTGGAGGCAGCGAACGAGCAGGCGAGGGAGATCAATCGCGAAGCCAAGGAACTGGATGAGTCCAGGCATCCCGGGACACAAAGGGTTTTTGGGATTCATACAGGCACTTCCAGGCAAATACGGCGGTATATGGGCTTCAGGGAAATAATTGGGACTTGTCGAAATGGGGGGGCGCCTTTGCTGACGCCAGGTGTCCAGAATTATTCGACACAAATCTGTTGAAGCTGTCTGATCTACAACCCATCGCACTATTACAGGGGCACCTAGGCTTCTGGGGAAGATATGTGGTTCTAGGGTATTTGACAGCTGGGATTATATGAGATTTCTTTGAGTGCTGGTTTCGACCTACAGGAACCACGGGTTTGAGGTGGTTCCTAGCTGTCTGTGCTCATGTGGGCGCCCACAAAGAAGTGGAGTTCAGATTGGTTCAGAGGTTGTAGCAATAGAGCCCAAACCATGAGCACTGGGCCTCATTGGAGTCGTTTAGGGTTGAATTAGGAGGGGCCCTGGCTCTAGGAAGGGTTTGGCTGAGCCTAAACCCTTAAGCCCTAAACCCTGCTTCCGGAACCTCAGGGCCAAGAAGCAGATGCGGCACGAGTTGATGAAAGAGAGCGCCAAAATCACGGATCAGTCCTGCGAGGACGAGCTTTGGGTTTATGGGTTCAGGGTTTAGGGTGCAGACACTCAGGGTTTTAGGGTTTCGCGGGTTTGGGGTTTATAGGGGTTCGGGTGATAGACTAACATAGAATGGAGAACAATGAGAAACCAGTGACAATCTGGGTGTATACCCTACACCCCAAACCCTAATCTAGTTTGCGGTTCAACTCTAAGGACCATGGGTCGTCTCGCGTGGAGTTATAAGGTCCCTAGGAGCCTAGGAGCATGAAAACCGCTGCCCCAATTAGAAGCCCTACACCCAGCTACCCATGATCCTTCCCGTCAGCTTAATGTTAACAGCACAGATCAAGCCTGCGTACATAGGTCCTGTTTACTCAAACGGCTCCTGTCTACTGTGCAGTCTCCAAATCCGGCGGGGTGCCCTAAACCCTACTGTAAACCCTAAATGCCAAACCCTTGAAACCCTAAACTCTAGGATTTCTCATAGGCTTCATGCCCCTGAAGGGCCCTATCAAGACTGCTGCAAAGGGGGCTGCGCATATGGGTTTCCATGTTTGTTTGGGTGAGGGTAGCCCTCATGATTGTGGTCAAGCCCCCAAAATTCATATTCCTCCACCAGATTCTAGGGTTGTCTTAAGGACATTACAGTTTTGGGATTTAGGAGTCCAGGAGTTCAAGCCCAAACTCTCAGCCATCTAGGAGTTTCTAAGCAAATCCGGGGCTTCAAGTCAAGTCCGTAAACTATATCTGTTTTGGCCCGAAGATACATCTAGACATGTATATATACATATGTACATTACCTAATTTGAACTCTTTGGATCCTGGAGCCCTGAACCAAAAGCTTGGGGTCCCCCTATATACCCTCACCCGGCATATGATAGTTGTAATTGTAAAGACGCACCGCCCCTAAACCCTAAACCCCTAAACCCTAAACCCCAAAAAGGATTAGGCCTAGACCCTGAATACCAACCTTAAGCCTGGTCGTAAGGACACCAAGAAGAAGCTAGAGAAGGAGAGTGCAGCGCTTCAGGAACTGGTGCTGCACCCAGCTGGGAGCTTTTAGAGAGACAGGGTTTAGGGTTTAGGAATAGGCATAGTGGTGCATCTATATGTTACATATTTACATGTCATAGGGTTAGCGGATTAGGTTTTAGGGCTGAGGGTTTCTCAATTGAAAGGGGGGGTTTGATAGAGGGCCCTTACAATAAGGGTTATAGTAGCTGGGCATCTATGTGGGAGCTGTTCATTTACCTAAACCCTAAACCCTAAACCCCTAAAACTTCCAGGAGGTTCTGAGGATTGGGGTTGGGGGTTGGAAAAGAAATCCAGGGGGATGCTAGGAGACTACAGGGAGAGTCTATAGTTGCCTAGAGTTGAGGAGTTGGGGCTTTAGGGTTTTAGGGCTTCCAGTGTTTAGGGCTTTAGGGTTTAGGGACACTATACAGAGAACTTGTCAAACGGTCCCCATGTGTTCTGCAAACATGCCCCTGGGGCGCAAAGGGTACCCTGCAGCTCCTTACCCTTTCCAGCTTTCCTCATTTGTAAGTGTCTCGCCAGAAACCCGCAGCCGTAAAGAACAAGTCCACTGCAAGGAGTTGACGGTGTTTGTCTCCAAAAAAAGGTAGCAATACAGGGGCCATTGTACGGGAACCTAAGCCCGGAACAGTAGTTTCCCTTTCCATTATGCTAATCTATGACCTCATGCGGCACTCAAACAAACTCCATTCCCCGAATCCTGTCTGCCAAATCTTGCGAGCCCGAAAGACGGTTCCCTTGAATCCTATCTGGACCCCCGAGGTATGTGGCAAAGTGTCTTTTTGTGACTTGTTGGGACTTGGGCTATCATTGAACCTAAACCCAAACTCTAAACCTTAGTTTTGGGGACCAGGTAAACCCTAACCCCTACAGCCTAAACTCTGAACCCTAAACCCAAACCCTACCACCCTCAACGCTGAATCCTCAAACCCTAAACCCAAACCCTGAAATCCTAAACCCCTAACTCCTAACCTTTAAAACCCTAAACCCTAAACCCAAATCCCCAGTTCTCAATCCCCCCCACATGCGACATATCCGCGCCCAGACTTTGAAGCGTGCGAAGATTGATAAAGAGCTAGAGGAGCTAAACGCCTGGGTCCTGGAGCAGTATATCTTCGGAGGGCCCCCCACCCTGTAATAGTGGTATAATAGGAATACAAGAGGACCCGAATATAATCCCCATTATCCCCTATAGTCACTATTACTGGGTGGGGGGTCCACCTGATCCCCTTAGGGCTGGCTTTATAGGGTATATACTGGGGTATACTGGGATAATGGAAAAGACAATGGAAGCTGCAATTTAGGGTGTAGTGTTTAGGGTGTTAGGATTTAGAGTTTAGGGCTTAGGGTTTAGGGTTCAGGGTTGAGAGATCAGTGTTCAAGATCGAGGCAGTTTAGGGCTTGGGGTTTTTCGACCTGTATTGTCCCTAAACCCCTAAACCCTAAACCCTAAACCCCTAAACCCCTCAATCCTAAACCCTAAGCCCTAAACCCTAAACCCTAGGGTAGCATGGGCTTGACTTCCTCCGAAGGACTCTTCAGGTGCTACGGGGTTTGGAAACTACCCCTAAGGGTCCAAGGACCCAAATAATAGGGTCCCTTTAAAGGGGTTATAGGGGGCTATACAGGGATATAAGGGGACTATATAAGGGTCCAAGGACCCAAATAACAGGGTTTTAGGGCCCAAATACCATTAAAGCTATGGTATTTGGGCCTTAAAACCCTATTATTTGGGTCCTTGCACCCTTAGGGTACATCATTTCCACCCGGACATTTGGAATGTACGAGGTTACATACCTGTAGGATCCCTTCAGGCGAAAAATGTTTGGTTGTGGGTTTGGGCTTCTTGAGAATTTATACATTATGAAAAGGTTATAGTCCCCCTTAAGTAGGTAGAATATGGCTTTGGGTATATTTTAATAAGATCCCCATATACCCCATATTCTATCTACTTAAGGGGGACTATAGGGGTTTAGGGTTCCGTGCTCTATTGCCCAGGGCTTAGGAGTTGATAGTTAGAGTTAAGGGGTACAAGGTTGGAGGTCTGCCATACGAAGGATCCACTTATTCCCACCATGAACTCCCAGGAAATGCACGAGGCTGGAAAATTTCCAAAGTACATCTTTTTTCTTGTATAGCAATATAGAGTAAGATGCACCATAACTCCATAACGCTTTCTGATTTTCAGGCCCCTGCATATCAATCCCATGTACGTCCGACATAAACTCAACTACCATTTCACAGTGCATGCGCTTCTCCATCTGATTCTCCATGGAAAGCCCTAAGCCGCAAACCCTACAGTAGCTTGCGTTTCATTGTCCATTATCGTTCCCATGTGGTTCTCCATCATTGTATTTCTCTCGGCCCCTAAACCCTTAAGCTTAAACCCTTGCATCCTCCTCTTGTCTTCCTGCGGTCGATTCGAGGTCAAAAGCAGGCATAGGGCTCAATGTTTGGAATGGATGGTTTTGGAATTGCGGGTTTCCCAAAATGAGGGGTCCCCATAATAAGGATCATAGTTTTTTGGGGTCTATATTCGGGCTCACTTACTTTGGAAAAAACTACCATTTAGGGCTTACATATGGCTTGGAGTTGAGGGTGTGGTGTAGGGGCTTAGGTCTACATACATGTAACTAAGCCCCATATACTTTTATCTCAGCTCATACTACTCACAATAATTTGGTCAGGGTAGGGCTGTTAACTAAACATCAGTTGACACTTTTGAGAAGGCATGTACGGTCAACGTATATTGCGAAATGCCTCTTTTGCCTAAAAGCGGCAATTCAATCATTATTTATCACCCTAAGCCGTGAAGCCTAAACCTTAAACCCTACATCCTAAACCCTCAACCACATTTTTTCAGCTCTTGTAGCTTGAATGAGTTCTAGCCCAGCTTTAAGGTGTCACGATGAAATGGATGCAGCCATGGTGGGTGGTTCTGAAGCATTTCGGGCAGATTTCTTGCCAAGGTTCTCATCTAGAAAAACCAGGCGTGTCCTGGGTTTAGGGTTTAGGGGTTGGGTTTAAGGTTTAGGGCTTAGGGGTTCGGGCAACTGGTCCGAGAATGTGAATGTAACATCGGCTTCCGAGCTAGCAGAAGCAACCACAGGGTGATCCCAGGAGCATTGAGAAGCCGACAAACTGCAATTGTCGGATAGACACCATGTTTTCCTTGAACTCTAAGCTTTATCGTATGAGCTGATAAAGTCTGGAAAATATGGGCGCTTAGCCTCGTTATGAGGGCTTTGCTGTAAGGGCCAGGGAGAGGAAAAGCAGGCGTATAGGGATTCCTGGATTAAGGCCCACATTCCAGTGGCCAAAGGTCTTGGTTCAGACCTTGAAGTCTGAAATCCTCCTGTAACCCCAGTTACGTACAATTCAGTATTTACCTCTTAATCAGTAGGTATACCCCATAAAACTATAGGTAATTGTGGTCAGAGATTAACTTTAGATAAGCTGGAAACCGAAACACCCTAAACCCTAAACCCTAAACCCTGAGGCTCACAATCGGCATGCTCAGCAGGAGGTTGCGTCAAGCTGCGGTTGAGCAGGGTCTGGCTCAAGGTTCAAGGTTTGGCGGTTTAGGGTTTAGGGTTTAGGGCCTTCTGCGCCCGGAACGGTTTCTAGATGGATATCTCCGAGCCTGGCAGTTTGTATTTGGGCACTTGGACCCGTGAGGGAGTTGGGGATTTGGCATGCAGCAAAGATGCAGGACTCAACGTCATACATGGATGTAGGAGCAGGGGGATATGAAGGGATTTGAGAGTTGAGGCTTTGCATGGTAGGATTGTGGAGGCAAATCAGCTTTTTGGGGGAGTTCAAGCTAAGGATTGGCAAGCCTGAACCCTAAACCCTGGACCATAAACCCCGTGCCAGACCGTATCTCCCAAGCCTGCCCCTTCCTCTCGGGGTCCTGGTCAAGAGACAGTGTAGGGAACTAGGAAACGAATCCCTAAGTTTACGGTCTAGGGTTTAGCTTTGGGGTTCTACACCCACACACCCCCTACTGGCTCCTAGTCCCCACGTTCCAAAATCCCGAGCCCAAATGCCACCAAGAAACGTGTAACCCATCCCCTCGAAAGCTTCAGGGATAAATGAAACTGGGCTGCTGCCTTACCCGTTCCCTAAGATCAACTAGTCCCTTGAAGGTCGAAAGGTAGGGCGGTGCAGAACTGCTTGATGATGTGGGGCATGTTTGACATTATTAATGAGGGGGGTTAGGGAGTGGTAGGCCTTTCTATGTTAGGAAGGTGCTTAGCTAAAACGGAGAAGTCTTGGGAGACAGTTTCTGTTGTTGTCCATGTTTAGCTGTGGGATCTTAGGCCTAAATTCTTGCTTCGAAGCCCAGAATATCATCAGCCGTCCTGCGGGTAACTAATCTTTGGAACCTTTTAAATCGGGGTAATACAAAACCCAATTGTATCCGAAAGGTTAGTCATCTGCAGAAGCCCAAAACCGGACACCTACGTACAAAGCCGGGTCGCTTTTAAGGAATTTAAATTCCGTTGGTATAATAAGGCCACCCTAGAATTTAGTGTAACTATACCCATATTGTGGTAACTAAATTTCAGTTCCTTGACAGCAACCCAAAAAAGAGCTTAGGTGTGAAATCGTGATCTTGGCCCAGGTAGGGTGTAGGGTTCAGGAAGGTATTGACAGGACCTTTTCGGGCACCCTGACTAGTTCGTCATCGAACCACTTTGACGTTTTGTGCTGGGCCTACAAGAAGTGTATTCTGGGGCTATATCAGAGCTCTGACTCAGTGAAGGAAGTGACATGCACGGTCTAGGTACAATAGCCATTACCTAAACCCCAAAAGTATGTAAAATAATAGCCCTAAACCCCCAAAAATAGCCATAAAGGCCATTATTTCACATACTTTTGGGGGTTCAGGTAGTCTACAGCCAGCAAGGCTAGGCATAGCCCAGTTAAGAGTGGAAAGACTTAGGCTTCATTTGCGGTGCGGCGCCCTCTTTGTTCGCCTTGCAGGTTACCACCTTG